ATACATGATGGATTTCCCAACTAAATAGTGCTTAAACTCATTTCCTCACAGGGATTTAGACTTTTTATATCAATGACAAATTAAATAAATGTAACAGTGACAGGCTCTTAAGTTACAGGGTGTTTAAATCACATATTTTCTATCATTTTATATATATATAAAAAAAACAAATCTTAGCTGATATTAACTTAAGCTGTTTAACTGTGCAATAGTATTTATCTGCTCTAATGAGAAACATAGCTGAGAAAGCTGTAAACAGTAAGAGGGATTATCATAAAGGAAAGTAACCAGCAGTGAATTGTCTTTCCAATATGTAAGTGATGATTATTATTGCAGGGATCCCCCATTGGCCTCTTCACTGTGCGGCACATTGAACAGTCACACAACAGGGGATTAATTATGTCAAAGTATTCATCATGTTATGTACACAAAAATACTGTTCTCATATAAAAATATACAACAATGACAAAACATACCTTTCAAGAAGAGGTTAAAAACTTACCTGAGCTATTTCTCAGTTATATTAAAAACAATAACATGTCAAAACGTCAGCTTTATGCCTTTGCTCTATTATGTGTCTACATTCATACATTTTAAAACCAAACCGTCTCTTACAACAGCGTTTTCAGTTTTAATTGAAGTAATTCACCTCCGTAATAGACCCCTTTAGAGACTACATCATCAACAGGGGAGGAGGCTTTCTGCTGATGATGGTGTTTTGGTTGAAAGAGCGACTTTCATCCAACCGTAACAGTAATTGTCCTGGTTCAATAGCTGTTGAAGCATGAAAAGAGTCCTCACAAATGAGTCTTTGTTTTATTACGGTGTCAAAGTATACTCATTACATGTCTTTAATTATTAGTTAAAGGCGTTTGAGAGAGAGGCACATTCGGCTGAAAAAATGATCAGTTATCAGGGTGACACATTTGAATGTGTGTAGAATATGGAAATCTTGTCTTCCAGCGCTTAGTATGACTAAAATCCCAGCATTAAGAGTAAGACCTGGAATCTAAACTGGTCTGGATGAGAACTGGTTCGAGCTAGTTTGAGTCATTGATTAGTTTCCTGCAAAATATTGACATGAAGCATTGCAAGAGGCAGTAAGTGCAAAAACAACAACAACAAGCGAGAAGCTGAGAAAGTAATCATGGTGGACAGATAATGCGATTGGACTAAGGAGCTGTTGTTTGCAACATATGCCGCAATATCGCAGGATGAGAAAACATCGCTGATGTGAACGCTTGTATTGACAGGATACGGGTTTGAAAAAAAATATTGACGTCAGAAATAATCGCATTAAAAAAACGCTCCCGTGTGTAAAGACCTTTACTCAACATCGCAGCCAGAGGGGAGAAAAATTTATATTCTGTGTAATAGATTCCTAAAGTTTGCCCACAGCTCCATAGGGATTGCTGGAGGAGGCGGGATTTATGACCTATACTGCGGCCCGTCACCAGAGGGTGCTGTCCTTGCGGCTTCCATTCTATGTACAGTCTATGGTTGTGAGCTAATGGTCTCGATAAGGGATGGGAATTGTTGAGTGAAAGTTGTAGTTAGAGTGAACAAAATTATACATAACATCAAACAAATAACTATGCTAGCTAGCTAAAAACATAAAATGGTTTTATCCTGATGTGTAGATTCTGTTTGCTTTATTTTTGATCCAGGTCCTGTACATAGTGGTCTTTTTTTAATACTAATACATGAAACTCAGACTTCATTTCTTGATATTTGAGCGTCTGTATGTGTCCAGATAATCTGGTACTGAGCATTGAGTAGCTTGTGTGCTTCATTTCTCCTGTTGCCACTGAATGTTTCTGCACTTTCCGATATCCTCTGTCCACTTGATAATAACATGTCAAGGTCTGTGTGTTCAGGTTGCAGCAGTATTTAGTGGTTAACCTCCTCCTGTCTGCTGTATTTCCATTCTGAACGTTCACATGCAGTAAAAACATCCAAACGCCTTCGTATAAATACAAAATGTTTAAGTTCAACGAAATGCTGGATGATGTTGTAGCCCATCTGTCACGGTGAGGTTTATATCTAAACCATATCTGCAAACGCCCTATCTCAACAACATGATATCACTCACACAAAGGCGAGAGAGAGTTCCTGCTTGTCTCCACACAGACAAACACGGAGTAACAGCTAAAATAGGGCCTCTCTCAAAAAACACCAACTGTAATTTACTTCACATATTCAGCCAGGAGAGTAGTGGGAAAAAATGCATTGTGAAACAGGTGGAAAACCATCCAGATGTATTCGAAAGAGGCATAAATCTCAACTATCAGACAGAATAGAGGCTGAAAGGGTCCTTTATATATGTACGGATGACATTTTTTCACCGTTCAGACCTCTCATGACTGTAGATGTCTCATCAGACGGCGCTAAACTGTGGCGTGTTTACAGTAGTCAGATGTTTTTTTGTCGTAACCCTGAGTTCAAACCTTTCTGCATCACAGTATCACAACATTTAGAGCCTTGTTGGTTTTTCAGTGACTGATTTCTTGTTCTACTAAAGATAAATGTTTCCACTATCCTCATTCGGTTTGCTGTGCGGTCTCTAGACAATCCACAGAACAAAATCTTGACTTGGCAGAGAGTGTTTCTTTTTCTTCAGGGTTTTATTGGGTTGTCAAAAATATATCTCAAACTTTCAACCATTCAGAAAAGTTTAAGACACACAAAGAGAATGATTTCCTTTTGTATTATCAGCACACATTACTGGTGGAGAAAAGTCACAGAACAAATGCCAACACCCCACCCTGAGTGTCAGCGAGGATTTTTTCATTTTCTTTCTGGGCATAAGCCTTTGGGTGGTGATGTGAAGCTTCCAGCCAACAGCATGCAGAATGTGGGGTCAGATCATAAAAACATTGCTCTCTCTCTCTCTCTGTCTCTCTCTCTCTCTCTCTCTCCTCCCTGCTCTCTGGCTGGATGCAACCCTTTGGCTGGATGCTAAAGGGTACCTTGTGCGTCCGTACGAGACACCAGTGGGCTGTGACAAAGCATTGGTATTTGAAGACCCTGGGTTAAGAAACAGGCTGCTGGGTTGTGGATGTTGAAAAAGCTGCAGGTGTGACCGAGGGCAGGGCTGAGAGGCCACCCACAGCAGGCAGGATGAAGCCGTAGCTTCCCCCTGCATTCAAACAAAATCCAACACTTTGTGTTTAGGGAAGTGTGGTGGTGTTTATTAATGCTTCAGACTGCAGCAGCAGCCTCAGAGAACTCAACAAGAAACTTTTCTTCGATATTTTAGGGCTCTGTTGTTTTCTGTGTTACTGGAAAATATGCTCTACTGTTTTTTTCAATAACTTTGATTTTATTAATCCACTACACTAAATAAGAGATCTCTGGATTTTTGTTCACCTATAATGATCAGTCAATGCAAAGACGCGAATAGATGCTCGTACTACTCTGGCGATGCGAATGACATGAATTGCAAGTTATTCAGGCGAATTCAGCGGATGCGAACTTGCGAGAGTTGAAAATATCTCAACTTAAGCGGATATACCTATCGGGATAAACATTTAGCACAAAGGGTGACGTATGAAAACGGACGGAAAGATGTTCACTGGTGTGAAAATTTTAACACAAATCCTTTTACTCGCAGTAGACAGATGGACAGACACTCTGCAGCTGGGATAGTGTGCCTGTAATTGCTATCCTGGAGGTAATTATATCCTGGCACCAACCTTTACCAACAGGTCATCAAATTGGGTTCAGGTAACCTGAAAATATTGCTAGAATCGGCCGTCATCCGGGCGCAGCTATTGGAGGATACCCTGACACGGTGACGCCTACATCTTCAACGGTCGTGGACCTTCTAAAGCAGCAGTCTGCTAAATGTGGTTCACTTCTACCATGCTTGATGGAGACTCCCCCTCTCTCTCGTATCCACGTATGGTTTTACTTGTACTTGGTGTGAACGCCCCATTAGGATGTTAGACAGCAAGTGAACGTTTTTTTCTTCTAAGTTGATGTGCTGGATGCAGGAAAAAATTGAAATTTGTAAGGAAACGAGTAAACTTTGACGAGGACTAAACAGTTGGCATCATCAAACGTATTTATTCAATGTAAAACCTCTTAAAACTTCAAAACCTCTCAGTTCTGAATAAACACGAGTGAAGCTTTGACTCAAATTGAATTAATGTCAGATTTCACCGGCAGTAAAGTATTTTTATCGTTTAATGGAAAGTTAAAGTGTTAAGCTCTTTTTCTCACTTAGGTTTATCACAAGCTGCAGATCTGAAAAAAAGAAAAAAAAATCAGTCTTTTCAAGAGTTTATACGACGTCCTATTTAAAGCCAAGACTTTGGTTTGCACTTTATTCCAATTCTGGTGTTTCTTACAGTCGCTAAATTCTCACCTCCTTCCGCCGCATGATAGTTTGTACTGCTTTTGCACAACATGTTAAGGGTACAGGTGTCCTACATTTATGTTAGCAGGAGCTGCAACGTCCTCGTGCTCCCAAAGTGTGTTTCACATTAATCTGAGCTGCTAATGAAGTGAAAGAGCTGTTTGAGAAGAAGGGCTTCGTCCATACTCTGCTGTAGAGGAAGAGAGAGAGAGGGAGAGGGTGCGCTTCGTTCAGTAAAGGATGTTTTTCAGCCTCGGTTATCATATTTGTCTGCTCATAAGGAGCCGTATAAGTAATTAAAATCCGACTCTAATACAGTGATCATCAAAGCAAAACTGGACCACAGAGCCATAGAAGAAGGTTAACTGGACATGTTTGAGGTGCTGACTTGGACTCTAAATTCCAGAAACCGCAGCACACCGTCAGAGGTTAGTGTGGTCGATGTCTGATTGGGTCAGGGCTGTTTTGATCTTGACATGATATCACATTCGACAAGTGGTCAAAAATTTAGGGCTGGTAAAGGTACTAACCCTCTACATGTGGATGAACTTCCCTTTTAAAATTTTGTTTTAGCGTGTTGAATAATCTGTGTTTCTTCTGTATGAACTGTTGTAGTTATTTTAGATATTTTGTGATGCTCCACACTAGGCCTGAACGATATATCGTTTGACTATCGTCATCGCGATGTACGTGTGTGCGATAGTCACATCGCAGAGCCTGCGATATTGGAGGTGAATGAACTCATTTAATTTCAAGGGTAACCGACTGAGATACACTCCATGTGACTCTGCATGTGCTGTGCAGCGATCCACCAATCACCTTCGTTCTTTACTCAGTTGCCAATCAGACTCACTTCTCAGTTGCCAATCAGACTACCCTGCCAGCTGTCAATCAAAATCAGGGAGGAGAAAACCCACCCCTGCACATGTTCTGCACATGGAGGGAGACGTGTGTCCGCTGAGAATTACTTTCGGAACTTTACTGACTGTTAAGCCCAACAAATAAGAACTTTATGGGTTTTAAATTGTACATTTCCGTGGACCACTCTACTATAAGCAGTGCGCGTTTTGCGAGGTGCATGCAATTCTCGGAGGACATGCGTTTCTCGGCACAACACCGCTAACAACAGCAACAACGATCGCAAAATGAACAACGAACAAGCGAAAACCACCGAAAATGAAGATTTGTTGCCAAAAAGAAAAGGAAAGTCAGTTATCTGGAATTATTTCGGTTAAAAGAAGGATGATGTCGACCAAAACACGTCTTCTGTGTTCATCTGTTGCCACAATAACGTCCCAGCACAATAAAAGCTAAAAATATCTCTGAGACAGACAGAAGCCGTTCTACTAACATTCACAAAAAGAGGTAAGATCAGAGCAGATTAACTGTCCTCAAGATTTCAGCAGTGCAGCATAACATTAAGTGCTATTCAGGTCATCTGGTGAAAATACTGTATTTTTAATACCGCAATATATATCGCAGGGTTGAAAAAATCGCAATATTATTTTTTTCCAATATCGTGCAGCCTTACTCCACACCACAGATTTTTTTTTTTACATTTGTATGAAGGAAGTTGTGGTTAAGAAAAAAACCTCATAAGGTAAGCTGTGAAAGACTGAAACCTTCAAGGTTTGTTGATATGAAATTGTTCTGCTGTGGCCAACTAGTCATTGTCAGACAAGGAGAAACCATTAACGTTGAACAATGTGTAAACTCTTGCTTAATCAGTTTACTTCAATGTGAAGCTAAGATTACACGACAAGGTCATTGTGTTCCATCTTTTACAACCGTTGCTGCAGAAAAAAAAACTTATTTTTCCTCCATGGATCTCACAAATTTGTTTGAGCAAAGTTGAGGACTGCTTCGGCGAAGGTCTCCTCACAAAATCCAAGTGCAAATTGCATACTTGAGCTTTAAAATTCATGCATCAAGAAGCGTCCTTTAAAATCAGTTCACCTTCGTTGACATGTTGTCAACTATTGTGAATCTAGCAACTCTGTCAGACACTGTTTTGTTTATCAAGGCTGCTACTCTTTATTTCGACACCTTTTAAGTGTTGATAATTAGTTGGTTGGCGGAATGAGGATTTGTAATTTGATGTGTTTTTTGAGCTTCAAGGTTTCTTCTTAAAAGGGTGGTAATTACCTTACAATGTCAAGAGCTGCAGTGTTTTCCCATATCGTTTGTTGTATTTTCTGCCAGTGAGTTAGTCGTGTATAAAACTGTAGTGTGAAATTCTGACAAAAACATGAATTTATTTCAAAGATCTAGGGCTGCACGATTAATCGATTTTAAATTGTAATCGGATTATTTGATTATGACGATGTTAAAAGAATTAAAATCGACAAATCGGTTTTCCTCTTTATCATGTCTTGTGCCTCCAGGCCACCATAGTGTTACGCCCCATCTTGAGGCGAGGCAATGAGAGGCATTTAGTGGGGGAACTGCTGCCTCTCAGTTTTGTTGTGGGTTCTTTGTGTTTGTCACAATAAGTCACTTGTTGAACCTTCAAAGGTGTTTTGTTAATTAAATGGGTCGAAAGGTGAGAATAGTTGTTAGCCCCATAGGGCCGCCTTAGGGTGGGGCGTAACCGTAGGCTCCCCCTTCCTCTCCAGTTCACACACACACCAGTGTAAACAAACATGGCGTTTGCAAAAGAAGGCGATAATTTCGTGGTGAAAGAGGACAAAAGCAAGTCAGTCGTGTGGAATTGGTTCAGGTGTTTCAGGTAAAGAGCAAACCACTCCCCACTGCAAAGTCTGTCTGAAGGCGGTATCAACCCGTCCACACGGAAACGAGTTCTGGAGTAAAAGCAAAAGTTTTTTGTCGTACTGTAAACCACGACCATTTCATCTCCGTGTGGAAACGATCATGTGATACACAGCGTAACTATTTCATGGTGCCTGCACGTGTCCGGCCGAAACAACCTTTATACACATGCTCTGTTCTCTTCCTCTGTCTTTTGTGCGTTTCCTGTGCAGCGTTACAGCGCCACTTACTGGCTTGACATATGCACTACATCGTTTTCAGTGGTTTTGTTTTGAGAGATGATAGAAAAACTTTTTATTAAAGTGAAGTTTGGTGAAGTTGAAACTGAAACTAAAAAACCAAAATCGAAAATCAAGTTTCCAGAGAAAAAAATTGGTTTTTATTTTTGGCTAAAATCGTGCAGCCCTACCAAGATCCCTGTTGTCATTTGCTTGTTTTTTTAATCTTGTATTTCACTGGCAATAGTACAGCATACTTCTTCTAATAAATAGTCCTGCTAGCAAAGATATGTCTTTGTAAGTGCTTTAAAGTCAGCCAAAAAATTTATTTCAATGAACCTGAAGTGTAAAAAACCAGCCTCTTGATCATAATTCTTTATTATAGCGAAGAGCAAAGATTATCACAGAAATAATCGTCATCATAGCTTGTTTCAAAAGACAAACAAAAACTTCTCACGTGAAAAGATTTCCTTTCTGAGACGCAGAAATAAGTTCAGCGAGTCGAGCATAAGATCAAACCGAACTGTACTTGACATTTATTCACCAGTGCAAATATTTGACAGCCCTCCACCTTCATACTTCCTCTGAACCAAGTCTTAATATCAGTTAAGAAAGAAGTGTGTTCCTCACATCGTGGCCGAATAGTTCGGTAATGTGTTATTGCATCTGCAGTGGCGGCTGTGACATGAACAAGTGAGTCTGTAAGCAGAAGCTAAAAGGACCTTGGCAGTGTGCAAACAAGGAGAGTTCAATCAAGATAATTCCTGTGATAGAGTCACAGTATGTAACTTAAAGGAATGTGAAGATATCGATGAAGAAGCTGGAAACTGCTCTGTGAAAATAGAGCAGCACAAAGAGCTGAAGAGAGGTGTGTTCGAGGGGATGGAAAAACAGAGCGTAATCAAATTCAGGGGGGATTCTCACAGCTTGATGATGACCAGAAACGTAACTTCAAATCTGAATCAGGAGGGTCAGTAAAAACAGCCGTAGTGTCGTCGTCTTTCACAACATAATTACACTGCCTATACTCAGCTCTTCTCTTGGAAAATAAGGGCCCTTAACTGGAATTACTGTTGTAAGTCAGCAGCAACACAGCGATCCGACATACATGCACGGTGTGAATTGCTCGTTGAGTCGTTGCCTTACACCTTAATTAGCATAAGGTACATGACAGACTCCCTAAAGAGTGTTTTGCATGTGTCAGAGGGCAAACGCAGGATATGGCAGATTGGCAATTATAGAAGGTGTCTGAATGTTTGCAGAGACCTAAAGTATGAAGAGCATGAGTGGTAATGATGAGTGTTTACATCAGGCAAAATGTTACAGGAAGAATTAGCAGAAACGTGAAAACACCTGAGAGAAATTTTTTTGATTTATTGATGTATTTTGTTGATGAAGGGAAATAATACTTAATGGCTGTTATACACTGAGGCAGTTAGTGTCGCTCACTCGTGTGGTTTCCTTCTGCCTAGCTCTGTGCTTGTGCTAAAAATTGTAATAATCACATAAATTTCAGCATTTCCGGTTCACGTTCCATGCACGATAGTTGTATAGCAAAGCCATATATATGACATTATCCAGCAATAATTAAGCAAAAGAGAAAACAATCAAATTAATAAAAAAAGAAGAAAATTGATTAGGGGACAGACCTCATGTCCCCAGTTACCTGGGAAGTCAGATGTCGGAGCTGGGAATGATGTTACACCAGAGTTGACGGCGTTCCAATTAACAAGTAGGAAAACCAAGATGGACGCCTGCTGTTAGCCATTGATAGCTATTGTTAGCCATTGTCAGCTGTTGTTAGTTGTTATTAGCTATACCAGCTGTAAATGACGTATAGCACAGTATTTTACTCTTACAAACACCATAGCACCGAGTTCACAGTTAGAATTTAGGCAGTACAACGTATACCACCTATTAAATTTCACAAAAACAAAACAGAAGTGCTAATAAATAATACATTACGTGAACTTCCACTGTTGCTCTTAACTGTTGATGCACTGCGCTGCCAACTTGAATTATGACGTTATTGTCAAGTTAGGGTTGGCCAGGATCATCCAACTTTCCGAGTCAGAAATCTGACTTCAGGGGGCGTTCCAAACGAATTTCCAACTTGGAGCCTGGAAATCCCGACTTCCAAGTACAACTGGAATGCAGAATAAAATTATAATTATTGTGACAAATAATTAGCTGAACATTTCTGAATGTATATTCACTCTGGATATGAATTTTTTTTAATTGTAAACAACTTGAGAGACTTAAGATAATAATCAACTTTAAGCAAAAACAATTAAAATGATGGTGAAGAGTTCTGAAATTTGCATTTTTGGATGTGAAATTTCCCCGATAAAATAAAAATGTTTACTATATTACATAGTTTTTTCTCTTTGAATTTAAAATAAGTAATAATGTATTTCCCTTCAATGTTGTTTTTGTTTGTGTTACATAGTACATAGTTCCCAAGTTCTCTCCAAAATGTACTGCTATATGAACAACCATAAAACAGATAAATTACATTTTCAGGTTCAATTCTACAAAAAGTACATTTATTATCGATGTCAAGGAATTTACTCTCAGATGTTCGTCTCTTTAGAAACAAGAGTCTGCTCATTTCAGCGTCTTGTACTACATTGTAGCGGTATAATAAGCTGCATGCACTCTGGTTTAACTACATTTTTGACACTGCAAAATAAGAAAGCGGTTCATCTCACTGTTTGTCTGCAGCACATTTGGCGACTTTAAAGATGTAGTAAATTGCTGGACTTATTAAAAGTGAACCAAACCCTGGGCCAGGCATTTACTTGATGATGGGCCAGCTTCTTGGCCATCACAGCAGATTTTTTCCAGGATTGGCACCATGGAGGGGTCGTTATGGAGCCTAATTGCCCATTACTGCGAGGGGGTTGGTGCCCTCTGTTAAACTGCTGTCCTTAGTTCCTGGGCTTGTTTTTGACAGCATGATTATTGTCAGATATGTTTGCAAAATTAAAATCTGAAATT